GCCTAGGCATTCGCCGGATAGCACTTACGGGACGCTGTCGAACTAAGAATTACTACGGGGGGTCGGAGATATCGCCAAGCGTCGCCGAGAGTGCCTAGGCAGTCGCCGGATAGCACTTACGGGACGCTGTCGAACTAAGAATCACTACGAATACGGGGATACCGACGCATATCGCCGAGAGTACCTAGGCAATCGCCGGATAGCACTCACGGGACACTATCAGATTAAACGTTACTGCGAAAGTCTTTATCATACAGGGCAGGCATCGCCGAGAGGGCTTAGGCAATCGCCGGACAGCGCCTTCGGGACCCTGGGAACTACTGGGGTACTGCGGGGTCACAAACTACTGGAGGGAATCATGCGGGGGGAACGCCAACAGTTGTCACCGAGAACGCCTAGGCAATCGCCGGACAGCGGTCTCAGGATCCTGTTAGGCTACGAACTACTGGGGGAATCACGCGGGGGCCCCGACGGGCATCCGGAGCGAATACGGATCACCACGTGGGTGTAGCCAAAGAGGGAGACTCGGGCAAGAGGCGTGGGGAAGGGCGGAGAAGATAAAGCCCCGGGCATTCAGGTTCCCTAGCATATAGATTGTTGGTGATCAGGCTATGTTTTCGTTATATTCGTTACATTTCACTTTATTCTTCTTTGGTTCCCTACCTATCGCACCGCTCAGCAGCCCGCATGCACGTATTGAGACTCGCTTACCCCTCTACTCCCACGCTTGTGCTTGTTGAAAGCCTCCTCTTTTCCCCGGGATTGCAGCGCCGGTGCAGGATCCCGCCTCCGTAAACGTAGTGTCGATGCCGGATCCTTCGCACACTGCTGATCGCGTTAATTTCGAAGTAGTCCGCCACGTGTGTTCCTTTTCTTTTCGCGCGCCACTCAGATCAGATTCTTCCGTCGACGCGTCCGATTCCTACGACTGCCTCTCATCTAACTGACTTCCTTTTCACGTTTTCCCAGCTTCAGAGCCGGCGTTCTGCTGGCTCTGCCGATCCAGCGTCGGCGTGGGCGGCTAGCGTCGTTATTTCCCCTCTCTTTTGGCGTCTGTAGCTGCGCCGGCGACTTTCGCCTCTCTTTTCCACTGCTGGGGCGTCGTTGCTGGATTTGATTGCTGTTCTCAGCGGCCCTCTTCGGCCGCTGCTGCGTCGATGCTGTTGGCTTATCTTGTCAGCGCCTTCCTCTCTGCCGTGGCTGCGTCGATGCCGGCGGCTCGCTGGATCCCGTTGTTTTCCTCGTCTCTCTTTGGCCGCTGCAGCGTCGTTGTTGTTGGGTTATCTTGTCGATGCTTCCCTCTCTGCCTGTTGCTGCGTCGATGCCGGCGGCTCGCTGGATCCCGTCGTTTTCCTCGTCTCTCTTTGGCCGCTGCTGCGTCGTTGTTGTTGTGTTATCTTGTCGATGCTTCCCTCTCTGCCTGTTGCTGCGTCGATGCCGGCGGCTCGCTGGATCCCGTTGTTTTCCTCGTCTCTCTTTGGCCGCTGCTGCGTCGTTGTTGTTGGGTCTTGGTTCTGGAAAGCCAGTGGCGTCCGCCGTGATCGCGACTCGCCCCCCTTTTAAGAAAATAGCAAGCTACGTGGGGCTTAGAGACCCCTCGGGCCGTATAATAAAAAATTAATAACATAATTAATAATTAACCTGAAACTGAACAGTCAATGCTTAAACCTAGAAAATAACGAGGGGGAACGTTGTGAGTTGCTGCGGACACCGCAACTCTACGGTTATACCCGATACTAAGTCAGTATGGCTCTCCTCCGGCAGACGCCGCTAATATTAATCGACACGACAAAGAGTGCGTGCGAGAGAGACAGAAAATCAGTCTGAGCGTGACGTCGGGCGCTGCGTAGCCACTGCAAATTGATTTGTTCCTTTTGGCTATAAAAATGATCTGATCTGATCCAGATTCAGCAACCTGATAGATATGGTCATTATTTATGATTCTGCGTTTTTAGTTTTCTCGAATGTGCAATATTGTTGATGCAACAGATTTTCGTCCTTTGTGGGGGCGGAAGGGGGTGTGGCGAAATTTTGAGATATACGTTTTTAGTGAGATCTAACAGGAGTGCGGATACTAAATTTGGTTACTCTAGCTTTAATAGTCTCTGAGATTTGTGAATATCCCCAGATTTGCATCCTTTGCGGGGGCGGAAGGGGGTGTGGCGAAATTTTGAAACAAACTCGTCTCGGTCCGATATATTAGGAGTGTGGATACCAAATTTGGTTGCACTAGCTTTTATAGTCTCTGAGATCTAGGCGCTAATGTTTTACTCTAAGCAAAGCCGCCTATGCTACGTGTGTGTTAGAGAGAGACAGGGCGAGAAAAAATGAAATTGTTTTCTTGATGCTGGCTATAATAATAATACGATCCAATTCAGATTCCGCAGTCTAAAAGATATGGTCATTCTCTACGATTCTGCGTTTTTGGTTTTCTCGTATCTTTAAAATTGTGGATGCCACAGATTTTCGCCCTTTGTGGGGGCGGAAGTGGGCGGGGCAAAGTTTTGAAATATTTTTGGAGCAGTGACATATCACAGAAGTCTGGATCCAAAACATCGTTGCTCTAGCTCTTATAGTCTTTGAGCATTAGGCGCTGAAGGGGACGGACAGACGGACAGACGGACGGACGGACAGACAGACAGGGCTCAATCGACTCGGCTATTGATGCTGATCAAGAATATATATACTTTATAGGGTCGGAAACGATTCCTTCTGGACGTTACACACATCCACTTTTACCACAAATCTAATATACCCCAATACTCATTTTGAGTATCGGGTATAAAAAGTCAAAAATCGTAATTCCAATGAAATAATTTCGGGTCCCTCCAGTGGGAAAATGCCGGCAAGATGATGGGTGGAAAAAATGTGGGTGGAGCGTACGCTCCCTCACAGTGTGTACATACAGATACCTGGCCGAATCACTTTTATTGAATAATTTATTCACAGGCCTTTTTTATACGTAGTTATTTATATTTTTTGATGAAACAATTGGGCACTTTGATTTACCTGTGGCACTGGTTGAGGGTGGTTTGAACACCGATGCATTCCCTCCCACAAGTTCATACCAACCAGGAATACCCACGAGCAGCTCTAAAGAGTAGCTAAGTTTGAAGTCCAGCGGGCCACCAATGACAACTGCAGGAACAGCAACAGCAACGAGCGAGGGATGATATCCAATGGGGATATCCAACGAAGCGCCAAGATTAATCCAATCCAACTTCTGTCCAATCCAGAAAATCAGTGTCCACCCGGGGGCGCCAAAAATGGTTGTGCAAATTAGCCTGCCGTTAGGCACGATTTCTGAATGTTTTACTGATACACTGGAATCAGACAGACCGACAGATCCACTTGTGCCCTCAATCGACTTTCAATTATAAGTGAGTTTATTCTAAAGCGGCGCCCTCTTCATGAGCGGCTGCTGCTTGCATAGGCTCCGTTCGCAACATGGTATAAGAGCGCATGACATTACAATACATACATTTCTCTTAGGTATAATTATAGCTATATATATATATGCAGGCAACTGATTTGCCTTAACAGTCATAGTTTCCTGCCTCTGATTCATGGGACTCTGACTCATGGCCTTCCGACAACAGGATGGTGTCGGTGTTTGAAAAGTCTGGATCGAATGATTGCGCGTTGGTTCTTCAAACGGTTCAATATCCTTGAATTCCTCTGACTCCTTTGGGGTTAATTGTTGATCAGTTAGATCATTATGAAACATAGCAGACTATCTCATCCAGGACTCCGACTCACTCACTTACATGTTGAATCTGCTGGTGATCTGGCCTCTGGGCGTTATCTCTTTGGAATGACTGACTGCGCGACGTATGGCTCATAGGTGGACAAGTTGAGAATTGAATTCTTGACCGTTTTGGGGGTTTTAATAGAAGTTTAGACAGAATACCTAATTAGTGCGGCTCATCCTACAAAAACCACACATACATATTGACTCTGCTGCGTTTCAGACCTCACGGGCGGTAGTGACTGCTGGTATCCCAAATCATACTGGGAGTAAAGAAAGAAAGCTCGGATTATCATATTCTAATTCGTTAGAAAACCTCTTATTCAAATGTCGGATGTTCTGCTGAGAGCGGTTCCCATAGCTAGGCGGCTTCAAGGACTCCCAACCAGAGCTTGTGGAAGGAGTGATGTGAGGAAATGTATTCCGACAAGCAGGGGGCGGTAGAGGGTTAAGGGCTAGAGGCCGTTATCCGGGATTATCCGGAGGCGGCGAATTCCCGGAGAACCAGGTGAGTAACAAGCAGTGTGATCAAGCCCGAAGGGAAAACTTTATAAAGCGAAGACGTTGCGTGAGGATTGAGAGGCGAAATCGATCCCAAAGCCAAGAGCCAAAGGCTTCAATCCCTTGAACCAACGGTGCGACGGTTGGAGTGTATCCTATAGGAGGCGAACCGCGATCAGGCAGAAACATCAAGTTGAGTCTAGTGGGAGCTAACGCGTCAGGCGCCGACTGAGTGTCGTTGCGTGAGGATTGAGAGGCGGAATCGAGCCCAAAGCCAAGAACCAAAGGCTTGAATCCCTTGAACCAACGGTGCGACGGTTGTAGTGTATCCTATAGGAGGCGAACCGCGATCAGGCAGAAACATAAAGTTGAGTCTAGTGGGAGCGAACGCGTCAGGCGCCGACTGAGTGTCGGATTTGGGCTACCTGCCAAGAATCACTAGCCGCAGTCGTTAGAGCCGGAGGAGCCACGCTTGGGGACGCCTTGGCGGGTCACGAATAGGTCGCGCTCACCACGAACGGAGAGGAGGAGAAACCAACTGCCGAACCCGTCCATTAATTGTTATACAGTAAACAAACCCAATCCGTGCGTTCTTATTTGTCGTCGGTACAACTTTATAAATTTGTTGCGACGAGCCCGCCGACCGTTGACACAGCCTAGCTGAATCAGACGGAACAAAGAGGTTCGTTACTGTGGCAAGACCTTCATTGTAGTCAATCTACAAGCGGCACAGCACTCCTGCAGAACTTACCTTTGGTGGCGTTAATCCTCGCAATGAATGCGACAGGCGGCTACAGCTGTCAGTGCAATGTGGCATACAGGCTTCGTCGGAACTCTCTCTATCAATAGTCGTGCTCTTGATATCAGGCTCCTATCGAAAAACATTTTAAATTAATTAAATTAATGAAGAACTCTGCAGTTAACACTTCATACTTACAAATCAAACGGTGGTCTCATCGTTGTGAAAGAAGGCATAACTTGCCTCTGCATACTGGGCCGACTTTCTCTGCTGGCAGCAATTACATAGGGCACGATTGCACCGTGCACTACAGGGTTTCCGAGAATTTCCAGGACCCACCATCATGCTACTGAGATCGCGTTCCTATCGGAATAAAATTATATAACTCATCAATAGTTATGCAATCGTTTCCGCAATTCACGCTCACAGATCTGTCAATGGTCTCATTGTTGCCTCCCTGGCCTACTGTGCCTGCTGGCATCAATAGTTCATCAATAGTTATGCAATAGTTTCCGCATTTTACACTCACATTGTCCACCAAGTCATAGATTGACTGCTGCTGCCAATGCTGCTGCTGAGGGGTACCAAAAGACACTTCATCCCTGGCCGACTGTGAATTCTGGGAGCGACTGCATTGGGCCTGATTGCACTGTGCCTCATAGGGATTCTGAGAATTTTCACGATCCATCTGCGTACTATTGAGTGTGTAAATGTAAAATTGAATTTGGAATTTTGTGTGCTCATTGTTTTGAATAGAGACATAAAAATTCAGGTTTTCTTGTTACAAGCTTTGTTGCTAAACTCCTCCGAAATAGCTCTACCGATTATCATGAAATTTTGTGTGCTTATCGCGCCAATCTGCGCCGATAGAAATTAATGTAAATGTGGCATCATAAAATTCAAAGAAAAATATTTAAATAAATAAAAGCTTTTCATACACGCATGAAATCCCTATATGCCGAAACAATAATTCGGTCCTCGGGTTTAAAAATTGAAAGAAAAAAACATCTAAAAAAAATGTTAGATTGATATTTAGAATCATTGCATGGATATTGCGAATATACCAATCAGTCATTTCGGTCTGAGCTCATAAAGTACGATAATGTAGAAATGGCAGGCATTGTTAATCGCAATATTCCACTACTAAACGATGAACAAAAAGTTTTTTACGACTGCATTATGCTGGCAGTTTTGGCAGGACAAGGAGGATTGTTTTTTCTTGATGCACCATTTGGAACTGGCGAAACTGGCGATAAAAAAATGGCATCGCATTGGCTGTTGAATCTTCTGGCCTTGCGGCAACTTTATTAGATGGAGGCAGAACAGCCTGATTTGTTGCTTTTTGCTATAATAATAATCCGATATGATTTCGATTCGGCAAGATTAGGCAATCTGGTAGATATGGCCATTCTCTATGATTGTGCGTTTTTAATTTTCTATTCCTCAAAATTGTGGTTGCCACAGATTTTCGTCCTTTGTGGGGGCGGAAGGGGGCGTGGCGAAATTTTTAAACACACTTGTTGCAGTTAGCTCTCTACAGTGAGCAAAAAGAAATACACTTGTAACAGTGAGTTCTGCATTGAAAAATTACCAATAGTTTTGTAACAGTGAGAGCTCTACAGTCTAATTGTCTCTGAGATCTGTGGATGACACAGATTTTCGTCCTTTGCGCGGGCGGAACGGGGTGATCTTTAAGTGATATTTAATATCTTCGTTGGGGATAACTTGCTGCTTGGAACGATCTTTGTACAGATCTCGACCTCTATCCCGTGCAGATGTTTCCGTTTGGCTAAAGTTTTCCTTTCTCTCATAATTATTGCGAATTTCCTTCCATTCGTAATCGATTCGTAACTTGATTGCCTCCAGCATGGTGATGGGATCGACGCAACCCAGCTTCTCAGGTATTTGTCCGGCGGAGACGATTTCAAAGGCATATTCGTTAAAGTTCTCGCTCCCATTGAGAGTCTGCTCTATCACATCGTGTAGTGTACCAGAGTTTAAATTTATATATGTAAACAGATATATAGGCTCTCGATATCAGCAGATGACTTTGACTGAACTTAAGGACTGCGTACAAATAGGTTTGGTCGTGTGCACTCTTGCTAGGCTCGGGTCTAGCTCGCCGGATGGTCGGGGTTCTTTCTAACCTAATTGTACTATCGTACCCCACTATATTTAAATAGTGCACTTCCCGGGAAATTATAAGTAATTATACAAAAACAAAGCAAACTGAAATGCTGATAGCGCCGACACGCCAAATAAAAGCCCTACTGAACCATTTCTATTTAGAGAGAACCTACCACCCTACCATGACAATGCGTTCGAGTTCTTGCATTGTCCCTTGATCAATCCTTTACTAAGATTTACCACATTTTATAAGATCCTGTCACGGATACTCGACAGACCATTTCAATGCGCGATCACGGTATACGCTACTGGTTTTTCAGAATAGTAAGCCAACAACAACAACGCAGCAGCGGCAGAAGAGAGACAAGGAAAACACTGACAACCGAAATCCAACGGCACCGACGTTAATCCAACGTTAAGCCAACAGTAGCAAGCCGCAGCAGCGAAAAAGAGACCAAAGTCACCGACGCAGCGTAGACGCCGACTGAGAGCGGGAACGACGGCGCCAGCCCTCTGCCGCAGCGAGAATGACGACCCTGGCCGCCCACGCTGACGCGAGATCGGCAGAGTTCTGAGCTGGGAAAAAGTGGAGATAAAGGAAGTCGATCGGAGAAGGCCGAAGGAGCCAGACGTGCCAGCGGAAAGTTCGAGTGGTTTGGGAAAAGTTAAAACACGTGGCGTATGAGATCCACGCCAACGCGATTAGTGGTACGAGAAAAGATCCTGCACCGTCGCCGCACTTACGGAGGAGGAGAAGCTTTCAACGAATACAAGCGTGTGAATTCAGGGGTAAACGAGCCTCTAGTCGCCTCTAGCTGAGGCGAAGAAGCGCTCAGCAGAGCTGTATAGACGCAGCACAGCATTATGCTCTACAGTTACTCGAGAAATTACGGGACACTGGCAGATCGGCCCTCAACCCAAAAGGGTTCGCTACAACGCCTGTCCCATCGCCCAATAAAACATAAAACCTGCAACTAAATTGCAGCACCTCGCCCAACGTAAATTTAACGCATGCATTATTTACTACACGAACACCCCCCTTCCACACATAGCCACCGACTGACACGCGCCGTCTTCATAATGCTGACCAAACACACCAGGTCACGCGGACTTCCCCCACTCCAGACCAAGCAACCGGCCAGGTGCAGTCTTCCGGGTTCATCGACTACAAAAAGATGACACCGCGGAAGCCTACGACAAGCACCCAACGGCAAACCCGCCAGCTCGCCAAAAACGCGAAGAGACAGAACCAGGTCAACCCGCGATCGCCAAAACGGCGAAGTGCAAAAAGGGAGCTTACGCAGAAATCCGGCTCACAGTACGGTCGTTGTACCAAAACTTACGCAGAGACCCAGCCCGGAGTACAGACGCGGTACCCGGAAACTCACGAGAAGGCATCGGCGACGAAGTAAAAATAAGTGCATTTAAACCACTAATACGTACAATAAAGTGTCAAATTATCGAAGTAAAAACACCCGAGTGCGTAAGTTCATTTCAACGTAGCCGAGGCACCGACCCCACCCCGCTCCACGTCCACATACACCATTCGAAACAAAACGCTAGCAACGCCCGCCCAAGCCCCGATCCATCTACTCTATGATAGGCCACCCCCGACGTCTCCCTTGAAGTTCCATCCATTTCTACAAATTTCTTGTGGATTGACCCCTGGACGTGACTGAGCTTATCTCAGCCTGAAATAGGTCCATCACAAGTGGCGCCCGAGCAGGCCCAACGGCCACTAGAGCAAGAACACAAGAGAACAACCCAAAGAAAACCCCGACCTCGCGCAATATCAACGGCAAGAGTTGCGCAACGAGCAGACGAAAGAGCGACACAGCGACAGAGAAACGCGAACAGTGCCGTCACCAGGAGAAGAAATTCGAAGCGTCAGCCGCGAAGCTCGACACAGTGCCATAGTGAAGGAAAAGCGCAAGCCCAGCGAAACAGCCAACTCAAGTAACGATCGGAGCGATGGAATCCCACACAGAGGAACAGGCCAGCGGGTATTACCCGGGAGAATTCGTCGCCAACCCAGGGGTGAGTACCGGCTGGATACACAAACGTCGCCGAGAGGAGCTGGAGTCCTTCGGGGAGGAATTCGGATTCAGCCGCGAGGGGAACGTGGAAGATTTGCGGAGGAGTTTCGCCGAACTAGTCGCCGGGCCCCGCGAACACGATGCCTGGATCAGGTTGGCGGAGCTCGAGCGGCAGTACGCCAGATCGCCAGGACGAGCCAGATCGCCCCAGCCCGACACTTCGGCACCAACCGAGAAGCGGAAGACGGACCCCAAACTCAGCCTACAAGTTCCAGGAATCATGGACGGCAAAGCCAGCACCTCACCGACATCGATAACCGCCGAAGATCTACCGAAGCCCCCGCCCCCGGAGCCAAGGCCTTCGCCCATGAGAAGGATCTTGCCGACAGCAGGAGGAAATGGCCCCACAGATGGCCACTACTACAGTCCCGCCGCGCAGATGGCGGAACGGATCCGAAAGTGGGGAATCCAGTTCGACGGGCAGGACGACCCACTGTCGTTCGTCGAACTACTGGAAGAGCGTGCCCTCTCGTACGGGGTAGACATGAACTACGTGCCGCGAGCCATGGCAGAGCTCCTCACCGACCGAGCCAACCGTTGGTTCCGCACCAGCCGACTCCAGAGCGCCTCATGGGCCGATTTCCGCCAGGAATTCCTAGCCTTTTTCCTGCCTCCCCGGTACTTCGAGCAATTGGAAGACCAGATCAGGGACCGCAAACAAGCGCTGGGCGAACCGTTCAAGGACTTCGTCATCGAGCTCCGGTTGCTCATGCACCACGCCGGGTACGACGAAGCCAAAGAACTTACCCGGATCTATGACAACACCCTCCCTGACGCAACTGACAATGTTGGCCACAGAGTTCGAGAGCATCCAGGAACGAAACGTACCAGCGATCCTCATCCCCCCTCGACAACCACCCAGGTACACGCGGCCACCGGCACAACAAAACGAAAGCGGGACGAATCGGGCCCAATTCCGAAAGCCCCACTGGAATACCTCGGAACCCGCAAGGAAGCCGCACCAAGCCGGCGCTTCAGCACAGGAAGCGACACATCGAATGATCACCACCCCCATCGCCAACCCGCACGCAGCCTGTCGACGCTGCGGAGAAGCGGGACATGTATCTCGCGACTGCACCAACCCATCGATCCTCTTCTGTTGGGAATGCGGCAAGCGCGGAACACGCACCGTGGGCTGTTGCCGCCAGGACCCGTCGGGAAACGACTCGCGTCCCCAGCTGACACGGGAACTGACGGGCACGACGCTCCCTCAGACAACCAACTAAGTGGATAGTGGCGAGGGTGACCATCGGAGGACGGCGCACGGAAGCCACGGTCGACACCGGGGCGTCCCGAAGTTTCATCAACGCCGACCTCGCCCGCCAACTCGGCCTCGACAACGACCTGCGCGACGCTTGCATCCCGATACGCCTAGCCGACGGCTCAGCACGCGAGATAACTCAGATCTTGCTAGCGGGCGTTAAACTAGACGAGCAAGAGGTACTGGTGCCGCTCGTGGTGCTGCCCAACATGCTACAGCAAGCC